GAGAAGCTCTCACCAGTTTTCGGCAACGGCGGCGATCTTGGCGAGCTCGTACTAGTTCAGAGATCACAGGGAAGGAGGATTTAGCTGCGGTGGATTCGGAAGGGCTAAGATTGCTCCGTGAATGCTCAAGAGTCATGGGCTGAGATTGCGGTGGAGGATTGTGCAACTGGTGTGCGGTGCTCGAAGGCCACAACCATGGTGCTTTTGCTAAGAGAGAGAGAGTGAATTGAACGAAGAAGAAAGGAAGGGAGTCAGTGGATTGATTTTCAGTTTTTGTTTAAGGTCTGGGTTTAGGCTTTGGGGTGGGATGGTGAAGGCCCAAGGGAGTGGGCGAAGGTGCGAAGGTGCGAAGGAGAAGGGAGAGGGCGAAGGGGCGAAGGGGCGAAGGGGTGAAGGCGAAGGAAGACGACGAGGGATCAGCGGCGGGGGAGAGAACGAGACTAACAGTCTGCTAAAAATCGAGGGGCCTCGCTAAGAACGTTTACCAAAGCATTCAGTCGGGGGGAGTCCCCGTTAGTCTTGTTGATGCACAAAACCAGAGGTTTTGGAACAACGTAAATTCGATCGTGAATTTGCAAGAGATGTAAATAACACAAGATGTATCGTGGTTCACCCCAAGATTTGGGCTACGTCCACACTGATTATGTATTTATTTGAGGGAGAGAGTGCTCTGAGAGGGAGAGCTTTAAGAGGGGGTGAGAGGGCCTTGGAATTGGCCTCCCTAATTGTGAGGGTGAGAGGTCCTTTTATAGAATAAAGATTCCTCACTTATTACATATTTGCCCATTCCTTTATCACATAATTACATTTGAGTCCCCCGAGTATTTATACGAGGTCTAAATACGAGGCCCTAAATATGGTATAAACAGTAGTCCCCCAAGTCTTCAGTCAAGAGAGTCTTTTGGCTGGAGACTTGAAATTCAGTCCATATGTGGGCCGAAGTAATTAAATGTTGTCTTGAACTTGATGCTCGATATGAGGCGGTGCTCAATCTGAAATGATGCTCAACTAGAAGTAGCACATGCTGCAAGGCTGCTTCGCTTGTGGCTTATGTTGGGGTTGGCTCGGCTTGTGGCATCGAAGGTGAGGGAGTCCCTTTTATAGAATAAGGGCTCGCTCCTTAATACATAAATGATGGGCTAGAGTTGATGCTCGCGGTGAGGCGGTTGCTCAGTAGGCGGTGATGCTCTCTAATGGTGGTGAGGGAGTCATTTTTATAGAATAAGGGCTCGCTCCTCAATACATAAGTGATGGGCTAGGAGTGATGCTGGCGGCAAGGCGGTTACTTAGCTGGCGGCGATGCTCTCTAATGATGGTGAGGGAGTCCCTTTTATAGAATAGGGGATCGCTCTTCAATACATAAGTGATGGGTTAGGAGTGATGCTCGCAACGAGGCGATTGCTTAGCTGGCGGCGTTGCTCTCTAATGAAGGTGAGGGAGTCCCTTTTATAAAATAAGGGCTCGCTTCTCAGTACATAAGTGATGGGCTAGGAGTGATGCTCGCGGCGTGGCGGTTGCTCAGCTAACGGCGTTGCTCTCTAATGAAGGTGAGGGAGTCCCTTTTATAAAATAAGGGTTCGCTCCTCAGTACATAAATAATGGGCTAAGTCCCCCAAGTATTTTTCATGAGGCCCAGTTGAGGCCCAATATATGGTACATAATGTAGTCCCCCAAGTCTTCGGTCAATATAGTCTATTGGCTGGAGACTTCAAATTGAATCCATGTATGGGCCGAAGTGGCGATTGTTCGAAGGCGGTATTTGTATACCCTGCACTAAAGCTTTGTAGGTGAAGCTTTGCAAGTGAAGCTTTGAAGCTAGAGTTCTATAAATGAAGCTTTCGAAGCTGGAGCTTTTGTAAATGAAGCTTTTAAAGCTGATTGACATGAGTGATGCTCATGAATGTTTATGTTGATTGACATGAGTGATGATCATGGATGTTGTCATGAGTGATGCTCATGAATGTTAACATGAGTGATGCTCATGAATGTTAACATGAGTGATGCTCATGAATGTTGACATGAATGATGGTCATGAATGTTTATGTATAATTGTCATGAGTGATGCTCATGAATGTTTATGTATGAATGACATGAGTAATGCTTATGTATAATTTGGAGTACTGGGCGTACTTTTAATCACCTGGTTGGTGGCATGAAGGAGAGTACGAGTTGTACATTTCATCACCTGGTTGGTGGCATGAATGGCTAGTTGCCAAATGATATTAGAGTACGGGTTGTACATTTCATCACCTGGTGGTGGCATGAATGGCTAGTTGCCAAATGATATTGGAGTACGGGTTGTACATTTCATCACCTGGTTGGTGGTAATAGCGGCAGGTTGCCGAATAATTTTGGAGTGCTGGGCGTACTTTTGGTCACCTGGTTGGTGATAATAGAGGAAGGTTGCCGAATAATTTTGGAGTACTGGCGTACTTTTGGTCACCTGGTTGGTGCTATTTTGGGCTTATGGGCCTTCGCCCTCCACAACATGCCAGCCCATTTATTTTGGGCTTTGCCCTTTTTTTTTTTTTTTTTTTTTTGGTATTATTACCCTTTGATGGGGTTTATACAGATGTCTCCGAGAGATAAGAAAAATAAATTACATCATACATCTGTAAAAAAAATAAATCAAATCATTTTGGTGGGGTGTTTATTCCTCACTTTTGCTTTCTCTTTTCTTTCTGTTTTCTGCTTTGGATATGTCGCTTGATGACATGATTAAGGGCAACAGGGGTAATCATGACAGAAATAGAAACCATCGTGGTAGGGGCTCTCGTGGCCTCGGTGGAGCACGTGGCTCCTTTAATGCTGAAGGGATGGCCTGGTTGCTTTTCTTTTGCTTTTGCTTTTCCCCATCTTTGTTTTTCTTTCTGATTTGCTTTTCTGCTTTGACATGGCCGCTCTTTATCCTTCTCCCGGTCCCTGTCACCCTCGTGGTCACTCTTGTCTCTATCACGTTCTGAATGGCACTCCCTCACCCACCCAAATATCAGGAAGAGAGCTTGAAGACCGAAAACCAACATCTTCCTCTTTGTTTGGTCTTTGAAAGCACGCAAGGGGTAAGATTTAAAAACCAAAATGCCGAGGCACCTTCTCAGCAACAGGCTTTGCTGCAGATTCTAGAGGAGCGGGTTCATCGGAGTCTCCTCGTAGAACTTGTTCGACGATCTCTTTTTTGATGTCCTTGTATGGGAATTCTGACTCGAGGTGATTGTCTTTGATACACTGAATCTCTGCGCTCAGATCACCTATTTGGTTGTCTTCCACCTCATTTAGCCATTTTGTGCAGTAAGACTGCCTTGCACCTTCCACATATTCTTTTAAGAGTCGTACCAAAGGGAACCAGGCAGATAAGTTGAAGCCGCAAATCAATCTAACAGCTTCAATCAGTTGCTTCCTTTCAATAAGATATTGAACAAAATCAGGGATCATATCTGCAAAACCAATTTACAAAGTGCAAAAATCCCAAAATCTCTTAAAAACCAACTCATCTGCAAAGCCCTGCAAAACCAACTCATCTGTAGAGCCCTGCAAATTCCTTGTATCTGTGGTTGCACTCGATTGAAGATCCAAAGGAGATGAAGCTGCGACATTTATAAGTTATGGCACTCTTCCTCGCGATTTTGAAGCCCTCGACCTCCTCCGCCAGTGTGGGCTGGCTCTTGGCCGAGGATTGCCTGCATTTCGCAGCCAACACTGCCATGCGATAGATCACGGCAGGGTCCGATTCTGGGGTCCAAGACTTCGGCGAAGTCGTCGCGTTTCATGATCGGCATGGCCTAGTCCACCAACGATGGCGGACTGTAGTTCGCGTCAATGGTGTTTCTCCCACTCAGAATCTCTAACAGGAGTGTTGGATCTTGATGGGCTTTTCAGCGGTGGCGGTGGTTTTGGACAATGAAGTTTGGGCGACGGAGATGGCTAAGTCAGCTCGGCAAGAAAGGTAACCCCTAAGAGGAAAATTGAGATCTTAACTCTGCGTGTTCTCAGAACTCGGGTTCAGAGCCGCTATGGGAAGGACCAAAAGGTCTTTTTCTTTTGAATTGTAGAGAGGAAATTCAGATGGATTTATGTTTTTGTTGTTGTTAGGCATATGAAAATGGAGAACCGTGGGGTTTTTTTGGGAAAGCTTTGGATTTTTGCAAATTCACGGCGGAGGTGAAAAAATGAAAGAGAGCCGATATAGCTTTTTGTGTCATTTTCCACAGACGGCGCCAAATGTTGATGCACAAAACCGGAGGTCTTGGAATAACGTAAATCCGACCGTGAATCTGCAAGAGATGTAAATAACACAAGATGTATCGTGGTTCACCCCAAGGTTTGGGCTACGTCCACACTGATTATGTATTTATTTGAGGGAGAGAGCTTTGAGAGGGAGAGCTTTGAGAGGGGGTGAAAGGGCCTTGGAATTGGCCTCCCCTAATTGTGAGGGTGAGAGGTCATTTTATAGAATAAGAACTCCTCACTGATTACATATTTGCCCATTCTTTTATCACATAATTACATTTGAGTCCCCTGAGTATTTATACGATGTCTAAATACGAGGCCCTAAATATGGTATAAACAAGTCTCATTAAAACTAGTCCAATGTGGACAACAAGCACCGGATTGGACAAACACTTAATCTAGTCTAGTCCAATGATCCTTAAAAAGGTCAAACAGACACACCCCGTGAGAATTGATCTCTAAACTTATCAAAAAGAACAATTTCGACGTATCTATATAAAGGTACCACATGTAACGCATGTTACTACCTTATCAAAGAGAACATCAACTTCCTATTCAAATATTTATCTTTGAATTCATATTCTACTCTACCAACATGTAAAATACTTCTGTGAATGAGAGCTGTTATTTGCTCTCCAAAAATGTAATCATGCATTCCTCCAAATTGTTCTCTTATATTTTTACATAGGAGTGCCATATGACTTTTTCAGAAATGCCGATAACAGTGCTATTCTCGTACTTTGCAAAGCAAAAAACAAATAACAATGACAATATTATGGGGATCATCAAAACAAACCATCAAATAATCAGCCAAAAAAAAATCTAAGAATCGAGTTTAGGATATAATGTCTTTCGACATGAGATAAATTCTACACAAGGATTTGAAGAAGTTCTAAATACATGTTCCTTGGAAATAATTCCTACGATATAAGATTCACAGTAGCTCAAAACATCTAGAAAACGGGGTCGATCAACTATTAGAAGTAGAAAACACAGCCTGACAAGCCTCAATTGAACAACTCACCTAGGATCTCAGTTAACAGATCAAAATCCTACCAAAAATGGTGCCTTCCGTATTTATGTTTCCTGTAGTATATCAGATTTTTTCAAAAACCCGAATCAAATCACGTACCACTGCTGATGGGGGGCTTCATACGTCGAGGAGAAGCCTCTGAGGGTCCTCCACAACATCTTTAATACGACGCAAGAAGTAAACTGCCTCTCTTCCATCAATGAGCCTATGGTCATAGGTAAGAGCAACATACATCATCGGCCGCGGGACAATGTTGCCTCCGACAACCATTGGACGGTTAACTATTGAGTGCATACCCAAGACTGCCGACTGCCAAAAAAATCGCTTGTGTGAGATTACGTTTCCAACGTTGGTGTCTACCCAGAATAAGAAGTTCCAGTTGTTCAAACAAGATAATAAAAGTCCAAGTTCATCGTGTCAGAGAAGCACCAAACCTGAGGGGGATTGATGATGGGGGTACTTAGAAGGCTTCCATAAACTCCACCATTAGATAATGTAAATGTACCTCCAGCCATCTCGTCGATTGATATAGATCCATCGTTTGCTTTCTTTGCGAGGGTGTTGATCTCCTTCTCTATCTCAGCAAAATTCATTTTATCAGCATTGCGGATAACTGGCACAACAAGGCCCTGCAAGAAAATAAATTGAAAAACTTATAAAGAAGCAATTAAAATGCATTCTTATTTTACAGGTACGATCAGCTACTATGTTTCTACTCATTCCAGAACATAATAACCATGAAAAACATGTATATTTACACAAAGGTTACAACTTCTGATTATACGGTTAAACAGATGAAACGACAAGAATACCGTCACAAACCCTGAGCTTATGTGACAGTTTGTAGAAGGAATACCACATTTTCACTCTTAAAAATCTAAAAAATAGATTTCTGGATGGGATCTTACGGATTAGAAGACTGTTAAACCAACCGAACTTGCAAATGCAAATGCCGAAATCAAAGAGGGGTAAAATTTTTAGTTTCACATAAAAGTTGCTATTTTGACATCTATGTTTGCAAATTGTCAAGATGGAAGGTATATAAATCAAAAGAATTATGGCCAAACCTTTGGAGTGCCAACGGCTATACTTATATCTATGTAATCTCTGTATATGATATCGTCCCCATCAACGACTGCATTAATAGTAGGCTGGTTTTGGAGACCACTGACGGCAGCCTGTTAATAGAAAACAAATACAGATAAGAGTACAGAATATAGATATGCACGCAACATATTATTCTGTCTTTCATATTAGCAATTCTACACGTATTATGTATGGCGTACTTTGATAAATCCAGACATAAGCCCCAACTTGACTCCGTGCTTCTCAACAAATGCATCCTTGTACTCAGAACGAAGCTTCATCAAATTGGTCCTACCACAAGCAGCAAACCAGTGAGGGAAGAAAAGAAGACGCATATATACAATCCCTGATAAAACTGGAAAGGCACAGATTGAGTTCCGCTAACCAGCCACACCAAAGAAAATACATGCAATAGCATCAAAAGAAAACTACAGTCAATTTATTCAAGATGGAGCATGCCAAAAGTTGGTGAATTAATCCAAGAGCTGGAAGAAAAAAACATGATGAATGCTGAAGAATACTTTTTTTGAACTCACATATCAACTTCATTGAATGTCGTCAGCATTGCAAATGTGTTCTGTGAGTCCTTCAATCTTATACTAACCCGCCTCCGAAGCCTTGTCATTGGAATCTTCAATCATGCGGTTTTAAATGATTATAAGCAGAACATCAAAATAGCCTCATAAAATCTTGCAGAGGATTTTCATTTTATATTTTAAAATATGCTAAAAATGAACATAATGTAAGAAACCATAGAAGACTTACTCGTCTTTCCCTTTCCTTAGAGTAAAGCTGAGGTTCTCTGGCAGAGGGTTTAGGAGGTGGTGAAGAGGGAGTTTTACGCTTTTCAGTAACAGGTGTAGTTTCAACTTTAGGTTTTTTCTTCTTGACAATCTTTTCAACAGGGGGAGATGGTTGAGCAAGAGCTTTCTCCGATGTCTTCAGTGACGGACTGACATGGGCTACACCTTCACCGGACTTTGAGATAACAGCAATCTTGGTGCCTGGTTCGACAGTATCCCCTTCATTGGCCACAAACTGCCAACAATTAAAGTAAACACACAGGATGAACTAAAACATCAGCAACCAATGCACTCATATGAAAGAGCACCAAAGTTAATGGGACTAAAATCTACACCTTTTGGATCACACCGGATTCAGGACTAGCAACATCAATCGTCACCTGATGAAAAATAATCACAGAATTAAAATCCTACTCATGGTTCCTGTCACTTAGGGGTTACCAATCCCTTTTACAACTGTGGAAAACTATATTAACATTCAAATAGGACTTTATTATAGAACCTTATCTGTTTCAACTTGAGCAATTGGTTCGTCAACTGCAACCCTATCACCAGGCTCTGCCTCCAAAAAGGGCATAATCAGTAATAGAATCAGACCCAAGAACATTCAGCGTTATGTATATTTGACAGAATATAATAAGTGGCTGAGCATACTCTTCAAGAATTTCGCCAAAGTGCCATCAGTGATAGATTCACCCATAAAAGGGACGACGGCATCAACCATATCCCCTGCATCATATGGAAGCCAAAAGTTAAACCTCAACCCAGAGAGAGAGAGAGAGAGAGGAGATACCAAAGACATTAATTTCCTCACAGGAACTAAAAACAGTAAATTCGAGGGTGTTAAATTGATGGAAGAAAAGTAGATAACCGACCAATCTCTGAAGAAAAGGGCCTGCTCCACATTTGCCTGATAGGCTCTGGCAGAATATAGCCACCAACATTCCTGAGAAACAGTCAAGCCATGATGATTTCCTTCTTTTTCTTTTTAGAATAAAGAAACTGAACTAGAGCAAAGGATGTAAGATTGTGAGTATGAAATATAAGTTGGGACCGGTTATATCGTTTAAGATTGATATAGAAAAGTCTTTTGTTTAAAGTAGTTAAGATATCCTTATTGATTTGGGTTAACAGGATTGAGAGAAGTTCTAATTGGTTTTGGAATAAGACTCGGTATTGGAACTTTATAGTGTCTCATAATTCTGTTTGGTTTGTAGCTTTGAGTCTCAGTCCGGTTCTGATAGGGAATGGACAGAGGAATGCTATATATATATATATAGCTCAAACCCCTGCTCTTGCGATCGTAAGCTTGTAGAGTTCTAAGACCTATTGATTAGAAGAGCTTTTCTTATCGTTAAAGAGGAGAAGGTTTTGAGCAAGAAGACTGGAATGGCTTCTTCATCAGGATCAAATAATGCAGGTATGTTTCAAAGAACTTTGACTCTCATATCTGTTTAAAATACAAAATTTGTATCGGCTGTGGTTCAATTGGATGAATCTTTGATTCTTGAATAAGGTGTTATAAACTTGTTCTTACATGTGGTATCAGAGCCAGTAGGGTTCAACCATTGAATTCAACCGGAAAAAAAAAAAAAAACTTGAAAACATATTATCTGGGTTTCGAACTGGGCTCTTAGGGTTCTTAGAGCCTTTAGTTAAGAACGGTGCCGTTTGCGTTAAAATAGCCTTTAGACAAGTCATAAAAAAAAAAATAAATAAATAAATAAATAAATAAAAATAAAAAAAAATTAAAAGAAAAACGGTGTCGATTGGTATGTTCTTCGAAGAGGACTCTCTCTCTTATCACCTGTGATCGACCCTTTTTTCTTCCTGATTACTTCTCTGATTCATGATTCTTAGTCGAAATAGATGCTGAAATTGACGAATCTTGAAAGTTAACTACAAAAGGTATGAACTTGAAATTCGAATTTATTTCAGATTATTTGAACATTGATATGATTCATGTATGATTATCTGGCATAAGTCAAAAGTAATACAGATTGTTCTTGAAAGATGCTTCCGCTTATATATCTGACATCAGAGACTATATATATGTATATTGTGCAATCTGTGGTGACTCTAATGCAGATATTGATGAATCCCGTTGAATTGCTTATTCTATATGTGTCTTTAAAATATCATATCATATGTATGAATAAGTTGATTCAATGAATAAGTTTGGTAGTGAAAAGACTGAAATCAAGAATCTTTAAGATTCATAGTGATGATTTCATTGTTGTCTAATGCAGTTTCACTAAGATCACTAAACTTAGCAGCAGTGCCAATACTCACTGGTGGAAGCAATTACAAAAGATGGAGAAGAGAGATTGAATTGCTTTTGACACTAAATGAGTATGACATTGCACTTGACAATCCACAACCTGAGGCCTTAACAGACAAAAGCACTAAGGCTGAGAAGGCTGATTTTGAGAGATGGACCAGGGCCAACAAAGTGGCACTATCGATACTAGAAAGTGGTATGACAGACACTGTGCGTGGTGGAATAAAGAAGTCAGCTCTTGCAAAAGATTATCTCCAAGCCATTGAGAACAAATTTAAAGAATCAGAGAAGGCTGAGATTGCTCAATATATGTCCCTCTTGACTTCTTATAAATTTGAAGGTGGTGGATCAATCAGAGATCACATTCTGAAAATGACTGACGCAGCTGAAAAACTTAACTCCATGGAAGTTAATATTGGAGAGAAACAACTTGTGTTTATGATACTCCAAGCATTGCCACTCAAATTCAGTCAACTCAAAGTGTCCTACAACACTCAAGACAAGACTTGGACAGTGGATGAACTCATTGCTCAATGCGTGCAAGAAGAGAACAGACAGAAACAAGAAAAGGGAAAGGAGTCTGAAATTGTTAATTTTGTCCAAGTTGCCAAAGGAAAGAAGGAGTCCAATGTTGGTAAATTTTCTAAACCACAATCTTATGATAAATCTGTTATGCCTGCTAAAAGTTTCAATTCCTCTAAGTCTAATAAGTTTAAGGTAAGAACTAAAAGTGTTGAGAAGATTAGATGTCATCACTGCAAGACTAAGGGTCACTATCGAAAAGATTGTGAAATATTCAAGGAGTGGCTGAGATCTAAAGGTAGAACTGATGTCTATGTCTGTGAGGAGACAAACCTTGTTGATATTCCTACAAACTCTTGGTGGTTTGACACCGGCGCATCTGTGCATATCACTAACACTTTGCATGGTTTTAAAGAACAAAAGAAGACAAACAGTTTTAATGTTTTTGTTGGAGAGGGAACCAAAGTTTCTGTTGAGTCCATAGGCACTGTCAAACTAAGATTAGACACTGGTTTTACAATGCAATTGAATGATGTGTTATATGTGCCCAAAATGAGAAGAAATCTTGTTTCTGCATCAAAACTGGTCAAACAAAAGTATGTTTTTGTAGGAGATGATGAGTGTGTCAAGTTTTTCAAAAGGGGATCTTTACATGGAAAAGCATTTCAGCATGACCATCTTTGGAAAATACAGTGCAATGTAGAATTTGAGGACTTACATGTTTTGAATACTGCAACTAAGAGGATGCATGCTTCTGATCAATCTTTTATACTTTGGCATAAGAGGCTAGGACACATTTCGAAAGAAAGAGTTTTTCAGTTGTCTAAAATGAATTTGATCCCTGCAATAGACATTAAAACTGCTGCAGAATGTGTTGATTGCATCAAGGGCAAGATGACTAATACTAGAAAATTAGATGCTAAAAGAAGTAATGCATTGCTCGAGGTCATTCACACAGATATTTGTGGGCCATTTCCTGTCAAAACCATTTGTGGGAATACTTATTTTGTAAGCTTCATAGATGACTTCTCGAGATTCAGTTATGTTTACCTAATAAGTGAGAAATCGGCAGCCCTTGAATGTTTTAAAGTCTTTAAATGTGAAGTTGAGAAACAGTTAAACCATGTGATTAAAGTTGTTAGATCAGATAGGGGAGGTGAATACTTTGGCAGGCATACAGAAGCAGGGCAACAAAAGGGTCCATTTGCTCATTTTCTTGAAAGTCAAGGGATTGTGGCTCAATATACCACTCCTGGTACCCCACAGCAGAATGGAGTGGCAGAAAGGAGGAATAGAACTCTTATGGAAATGGTGAGAAGCATGATTTCAAGATCCAAGCTCCCAAATTTTCTTTGGGGAGAGGCATTGAAAACTGCAACTATATTATAAATCGAGTGCCCTCAAAATCTGTGCCCAAGACACCTTTTGAATTATGGCATGGCAGAAAGCCAAGCTTCAATCACTTTCATGTATGGGGATGCAAAGCCGAAGCAAAATTCTACAACCCAAGTGAGAAGAAATTGGATCCAAGAACAACTACATGCTATTTCATCGGTTACTCAGAAAAGTCAAAGGGTTTCAAATTCTATTGTACACAAGCATACACAAGGATTCAAGAAACTCACAATGCCATTTTTCTGGAGGATGAAGATGTATCAGATATGACACATGAAACATTCGATTTGAAGAGATGGTGCAATCAGAAAATTGTTCTCAATTAACCTACAATCAAGTACCAGTATTGCAAAGATCTCACCCAACTACCGATGATCTTGATGATGATATGGCAGAAGCTGAGAGCAATGATCAAGCAAGCATTGAGAATCGATCAGAGACTCAGAATCAAAATCTCAATGTTCAAACAAATGAGAATTTAACTGACCAACCACAGATCAGGAAGTCTAACAGAATTAAGAAACCTGTGATCTCGCAAGACTATGTGTATCTTCAAGAAACGGAATTCGATTATGGTGATATAGATGATCCTATGACCTATCAGCAAGCTATCAAAAGTCCTCAAGCAGTCTTATGGCAGCAAGCAATGGTGGAGGAACTTGAGTCAATGGCAAACAACAATGTTTGGTCTTTAGCAAAGCCATCAGATAACACTAAACCAGTAAACTGCAAGTGGGTATTTAAGACCAAGAGAGATGCTCAGGGAAGAATTGAGAGATATAAAGCTCGATTAGTTGCAAAGGGATTCACACAAAGGGAGGGAGTTGACTACAATAACACCTTTTCACCAGTTTCTTCCAAGGACTCAATGCGAGTGATAATGGCCTTGACAGCTTATTTTGACCTGGAATTGCATCAGATGGATGTCAAAACTGCATTTTTGAATGGTGAACTTGATGAGGAGATCTTTATGTCACAACCTCCTGGATTTGTTGAAAGGGGGAAAGAGGATATGGTCTGTAAATTGAATAAATCAATCTATGGTTTGAAACAGGCTTCAAGACAATGGTTTCTGAAATTTGATCAAGTAGTTACTTCACAAGGGTTTATTGAAAACAAGATGGATGATTGTATCTACCTTAAGTTCAAGGGTTCCAAGTTCATTTTTCTGGTCTTGTATGTCGATGACATTTTGATTGCAAGTTCGGATGTACAGTTGCTAAAAGAGACGAAGAGCATGCTGAGTTCAAACTTTGAAATGAAGGATCTTGGGGAAGCTCACTATGTTCTCGGAATTGAAATCATGAGAGACAGAAGACAGAAACTCCTTGGTTTATCTCAGAAGGGATATATAGAAAGAGTGCTTAACAGGTTTAATATGGAAAGCTGCAATAAGGCTGATGTTCCAGTAAATAAGGGTGATAAGTTCTCTCGTGATCAATGTCCTAAAAATGAACTTGAGACTAAATTGATGAAGATGAAACCATATGCTTCTTTAGTTGGCAGCCTTATGTATGCTAACATATGTACCAGACCTGATTTGGCTTTCATTGTTGGACTTTTAGGAAGATTTCAATCAAATCCTGGAGAAGCTCACTGGGTGGCAGCCAAGAAAGTGTTGAGATATTTGCAGAAAACAAAGGGGTTTATGTTGGTTTATGGGCACAGTGATCCGTTAGAGTTGATTGGATACACTGATTCTGATCTTGCTGGGGATGTAGATGAAAGAAAATCAACTGGAGGATACATTTTTAAGTTGAGTGGAGGTGCTGTGTCTTGGAAAAGTGCTAAACAGACTATTGTGTCAACTTCAACTATGGAAGCTGAGTTTGTAGCATGTTTTGAGGGAATGAAACAAGCAGTTTGGCTCAGAAACCTGATTTCTGATATGAAGCTTGTAGATTCAGTCAAAAGGCCTATAAGAATGTTCTGTGATAACAATGCCGCTGTGTTTTTCTCAAGGAATAACAAAAGACTTCGGCCTCGAGGTTAATGGATGTAAAGTTTCTTAAAGTTAGGGAGATGGTCAAGAAGGGGGAAATAGATATTCAGTATTTATCTACCGGTGCAATGATCGCAGATCCTCTTACCAAGGCCTTGCCAAATAATTTATATAAGGGACATGTTGCTAAGATGGGGGTGGTAGAGTCTTTTGAACAGTGGGAGTAAACTGTTTCAAAATTGGAAGACTGTTGGAGTGTTCATTCGAATTTGATGACATTAAGACAGCAAGTCTTCGTAGCTAGATAGTTTTATTTGAGTTAGTGTTTTGTTTAGTAAGTAGCTTATTTTGGTTTTCAATAAGTGTTCAATTCTTCCAATGTGATTAATTGTTCCAGAAAACAAGTTTTATTCAATAAAAGTAAGTTTGCTAAGAAATCAGTTTTGTGATTTGGTTGATGCATGCTTATTGGTATGTTGAATGGTTAAAGATCATTGACTTGATTCGAATTATGAGAGCTGTATTACTCAAGTGAGAGTTATACATTTTGTGCTCTGTGTTGTGATTTATACGATTCTTAATTGCAGATTGAATAAGTAGTAATTGTTGAATTGGTTTCTGTGATGTACAGAGTAGATTCTTCAGTTCCTTATTTTGAGATGCATTATGATTGTAATCTGAGAGGATGATTAGAGCTTGCATAAGACTTAGTGATCACTTCTATAAATCTTAAATACTGGTTATTGTGTTTCATACTCAAGTGGGAGAATGTAAGATTGTGAGTATGAAATATAAGTTGGGACCGGTTATATCGTTTAAGATTGATATAGAAAAGTCTTTTGTTTAAAGTAGTTAAGATATCCTTATTGATTTGGGTTAACAGGATTGAGAGAAGTTCTAATTGGTTTTGGAATAAGACTCGGTATTGGAACTTTATAGTGTCTCATAATTCTGTTTGGTTTGTAGCTTTGAGTCTCAGTCCGGTTCTGATAGGGAATGGACAGAGGAATGCTATATATATATATATATAGCTCAAACCCCTGCTCTTGCGATCGTAAGCTTGTAGAGTTCTAAGACCTATTGATTAGAAGAGCTTTTCTTATCGTTAAAGAGGAGAAGGTTTTGAGCAAGAAGACTGGAATGGCTTCTTCATCAGGATCAAATAATGCAGGTATGTTTCAAAGAACTTTGACTCTCATATCTGTTTAAAATACAAAATTTGTATCGGCTGTGGTTCAATTGGATGAATCTTTGATTCTTGAATAAGGTGTTATAAACTTGTTCTTACAAAGGAAACACGAATTCATAATAAAGTCAAATACAAAGGGGAAAAAAATAACTTTATCTTAGTTCTTCACTAAAATTTGTTTCATGTTAATGAAGTGAATTTGACATCTCGGTTTACAATTCAGGACCAAGGTGAGAAAAAGAGACTGCAGATGAATATAGAGATGCCCCAAACCTAATTCGCAACCAAACGGTTATGTTGTCACTCAGTCAAGCAAAGCATCAGAAAACCAGGATTGAGAACAAATGCACCATAAACTTCAAACAGATGCAGCGTGAGAAAGAGAGGTTTTCACCCTAAGAGCCTTGCTTGCTTCATACATTATCAATCATTTACGCATACGGATACATAATTACATTGTCTACATAAGTAGTGTACACAATCCGACTGGAAAGCAGAACAAATCTCTTTTGTGAATGCAGAACACAATGTACAATAGGATAACATTACCGTCAATTCACAAGACACCGGCTGGTAATTATCGAGTTAAACAGAATAGACAGAAACAACATAATGCGGTCACTAACCTTGTTGTCCTGCTACAAGGCGAGGAACCTGTGACAAGAAAGCATGTATTACAGCAGGATCAATCACACCGACACATTGATTGAGATATAAAACAAAACCATATGTAAAAGTAATCCATCTTTCAGAAAAACTTACCTGCAAAAATGAGGTGAGAAAGGTTTCGAATACGGTCTAATCCTCCTTTGGGTTGAAGTAAAATCTGTACCCACGTGCATGGAAATCCAAAAATGCAATAAACATACCAAATAAAACACATTAAACGTAAACCCACACTTCTGAATTCGACGTTGATAGAAGCTAGCAAAACCAAATTCAATTTATAGTAAACATAAGCATGCACATCGTGTAACATCACAGAAGAACACAATATATATTTGAATTTTTTTATAGAAAAAAAAGGGGGAAATACAAAGTAGTAGAGAAAGAACCTCCGATTTTGCAACAGGTCGGATTGACAGCAGTGAGTGCCCCAAAATCTGAGACAAACAACAGAAATAAAGCTTTCAGAATAATCTACGAAATATATATATATATATATATATATATATATAATATATATATATCAAATTCATTTAAAAAAATATATGCAAGAAAAAATATGTAGTATTGGGTTGTTTACCGAAGCAGAGGAGCCCCCAGAAACGACTCTTCGCCTTAGAACGCCAAGCATCGTCGTTGTTTCGATCAGTCTCTCTCTCTCTTTGAGGGTTTAGGTTTTAAGCGAAATTTATACAAATGGGAGTGAAGATTTCAGAACGTAGGGTTTTTCGATACTATTATAAATGTCACTTTCATTCACACGCAGAAAGAGACGCGGCGCCAAGATGTGTAAGCTACACGTCTTGCTCTTTTAGTATATTATTCGGGTTGGTGGTTTGGGCTGGTTCGGTTTTGGGTCAAGAGATTTTTTTAAGTATTAGATATTTAAGCTGTACTTTATATATTATAATATGTAGGGATTTTTTATCTAAAATGATATTTGAGATTTGCATAACTACTTACTTTGGTCCGTGAGATTTGAAATCAATAGATGTGGTTCCAGAGTTTGTCTACTATCAATCATTTTGATCATTCTGTGAAAAATTGTCATATAAGAACCAAAATACCCTCAATTTTACAAACAATGATCCAAAATGATTTGACAAAATTTGAGAATATTTTTATCATTTTATTCTTATTTAATAGAGATTTTTCAATGAAGGACCATTATGACTAAATAGAGATTTTCACACAACCCTCCTTATTTATAGTCGTCTGATTGAACAAATCAAATTAAAACAACTAAAATGACTAAGTAGAGATATGTGAGACGCTAAAAAAGGTGTATGTTTATCATCTTCCAATCTATAAACAAACAAAAATGCTATTTTTATCATCTATTTATACCATCATTTGTACCGTCTCTCTATTAGAGATAGAACCAGCATGCGTTGGTGGGTCCGACCTCTATTAGAAAAATAGTATAAATAGATAGTAAAATTACTCATAAACAAATAATGGTAACGGGCGAGAGCATCGATAGCTAAAGATTTTTCAATGTATATGAAATATTGCTACTGAATGTCAAAATTTCACTAAACTCATTAATAAACTATAAAAATGAGACATATTAGTCGTCCAACTGTATTATACCACGAGACAAATCTTTCACAGTAGACAAATTTCTAATGGATAGCTCCATTACATAAACCACGTTAACTTATCTCATTCTATTATCGAACAATAAGAAGTTATAACTCATAAGTCTACAAAGATACTGCTTTTTTCTTTACAACATTCAAAGATATATATTGTTGGATTTTATTAAGAGAAAGAGCTTAGCTTTGGCTAGAGATCATGTGCAGATAAAAGTTTCTTATAATAACACTGTAACACATGCATGGATACATTAGCACAATTGGGTAATTAACAATCATACGAAGATCAGCTTTGTGTCTTCAACAAATTAGGGTTCGAACATTGTCATCACGATTAAAATACTTGGTTGCTAAAGCAACGATGGTACACATTACAGTTGACACAAAACAACAAGACTGTCCTTAACATAAGTACGTACTAAATTACTAATTCAAGATAGATATATAATTTGATTTGGAAGTGCATGGAGAAATGAATCGTAGAGTATTCATGCACACGTACGTCTTCAAGGCAATCCACCCCCAAGCCCACCGCCAGCACCAGCTCCTCCACCGAAACCTCCCCCAGCTCCTCCTCCAAGTCCTCCTCCACCACCACCACCGAATCCTCCTCCGCCACCTCCTCCAGCTCCACCCCCAAGACCACCACCGGCTCCAAACCCACCACCGGCTCCCCCACCAAAACCTGATCCACCACCTACTCCTCCACCGCCACCTCCGCCTAATCCTCCACCGCCACCGCCACCAAGTCCACCACCTCCGCCAAGTCCGCCACCAGCTCCAGCTCCAGCACCACCACCGAATCCAGCACCAGCACCAGCACCGCCTCCTAAACCTCCTCCACCTCCAAGACCACCACCACCTCCACCGCCTAGTCCACCACCACCACGGTGAAACAAGTTTTTCTGATCCTCAAAGGAACCCTTTTCACTGCCGAGCTTTCTTGCACCAGTAGAGAAAACGAAAGCACCGATAAGCACAAGAAGAAGAAACTTAGAAGAAGAAGTCATCTTATAATTAGCCATAGTTCGGATATAGTTGCTAATTAAGTGACCTTTGGTTGTGAACCAGGGGATTGAGGGAGAAGATTATATATAGACATAGATATGAAGGGTAAGATGGCCAGAGTGGAGATAGTAGTAGGGTTTGGTCTTAAATTTTGGACCATCTTCTCATCTACAAAACCGTGTCGGGACAGTTAATGCATGCAAACCCCAACTGTACGTCTTTGAAAAAGAAAACCCTCTGCCTTTACTCGATGCAACATGCATGCCCCACTCGATCTTGAGATAAATTTTTATGTGTACCATGTGATCATATAGGGTTGATATGTCAAACTTTTATGCATATTTTAACGTCTTTTTATTTATAATATGGAACGTGCTATACCATATTCTGTTCCATATACACTGAAATTTTCTTCAACCGTGACTACTCTTGTTGGATCTTCACTTTGCTTGCTAGCTCTTGCTACTTCCATTCCAGCGCAATTCGAGTGGACTTTTTGCAATTTGCATGAGATACCCTCCTCTCTCTCTCTCTTTCTCATGGGTTTCTGGTGACTACATGTGCCTCGTTCTCCGAACTGTTTTGTCTCGATCGATGTATAACTGTATCTCCAATGTACCGGAGATATAGGATTCAAAACTCATATTTAAGTTTTCTGATTTGGTTTTAATTCATCAGTTCAGGGTGGAGCTCATGCCAACATCGAAAAAATGTTATTTAACAAGAAAAATAACATTTGAGTTTTGAGTCGAATCATCTTCAATGCACGTATCAAAATTGTCAAAACTCAAATTTGGTTTTTGACTCCAATGTTTTCTCCTCCAAACCAAAGATTCAAATCTTAAAACGCAGAATATAAGAATATAGGTAAGTCTTTGCGTTGAATAAGAAAACCAAAAAACTCAAAACCACTTTTTATTTTTTTTGTACTCAAATATAAGAGCATAGATATAAAATTTAAGTTTTTTCATTCAAGATGCTCTAATATGAGGACTTAACCAAGAATATGTATTGGGTGGATAGAACTAACCAACTTTTATTCTCATCAAAAGATTCTAATCCAACTTTTCTGCTATATATTTTTGGAGTAATGCTAGCGAGACGATTTATTTAAACCATATTTTGTAAATCATCTGACGTGGTTGTTTCTATGATTGGATTATTACTTACTTGATGATTAACATACTTATTTTCTATTAGTGACACATCATATAGTTTGCAAATTTGATTTAAAAAACTAGTCTACCTAACATTACTTTTTTTTTTTTGACATTGTATAACACGTTAGAATATCGTCGTTCATACTTTTAATTTGTCTTTCTACACGCTAAAAATTATTTTATTATCTTAAAGTATGCACGAGTTTTTGTTTTTGAAAAAAGAGTGAACAGATGAATGTCTAATGACAAATTAGAAGTGCTCACATTGTTCTTTATTTGTTTAACTCAAATTTTTTTATCTTTACCTTTTTGTCTATGAAGGTTGCCTTGCTGCTCTTGCAGATCTATATGGATTAAAGATCAAGGGACCACAAGAAGTTAATGTTAACCATGCTTTCAACAATAAAGCAAAAGTATAATAAATTAAGGCGGTACAAAGAGAATATATATATATATATATATATGATAAATACAAGTTAAAGTAATGTTCAAAGTTTTCTTTAAAAAAAGAAAGAAAAGAGAATAGTGTTATTTACACGTCTATTTTTACTTTCCACACATTCTTATTAATTTTTTGTCATTGATATTCTTCAATTCATTTGATTCAATTGCCAGAAATAAAAAATTATGTATAAGAAATAAAAATGAGTGCATGGATAACACTATCAAAAAAAAAAATGTAGTGTTCACATAGTTCATATCTTACCTTCGGTTTACATGTCAGAAAATAGAGAACAGTATAATGATAAATTACTGGGTAAACATCTCAATCCAATTAATTCGCCTACAAATGTTTGTTCAGATTAGGCTTTATGCATGCATGCTCGGACGTCCTAAAAAATGCTCTGGAAATATGTAGCAAGTGGCTCGATAGGCTTGATAATTGAGAAAGTTAATTAGTTGTTGGGTTTGATTAATGAAGAGACGTGGTGGTTGGGTTGGCTCATTTGACCAACACGGATATGAGCTCTACCCACTGAAACTAACCAAACAGCGAGTTGAGCTGAATTTTTCTGTATGGGTAAATAAGTTTAGTTGAATTATGGTAAATGGTAGCTGAACATTGAATGCACAGTTTGACCGGAGGCCCTGGTAGTGATTGTGTTAAGCAGAGCAGAGAGAGAAAAAGAAGATTGGCTTCGAAATGCCTTTAAAATACTGAATAATTTTATTGTTACATTGATATAACAGGCTAAGGCTAGAACCAAATTCTCATTTAGTTACCAACTGATGATCATCCAATCTAATGACACTTGGCACTTCAATGACCATTGATCTATACTCTTAACATCCCCCTCAAGCTCAGGAGTAGAGAAGCCAAGCCTGAGCTTTCTCCTTTGTGTTTGAAATATAGGAACACGTAAACCCTTTGTCAATATATCTGCAAACTGTTCATTTGAAGAAACAAATATTGAACACAAGGATGTGTTTTAGACACTCCTGCTCTCAGAAAATGGACATTATTCTCCAAATGCTTGGTATGATTTGGATACCAGAAAAGCACTCGACTGATAGCATCTGGCATTGCATGTGATGATTATGTCATCAACATATAAACTATCAAGGAACTGGACTCTACATATGTGATTTAGTTTTGAAACCCAAATCAAGAAAAAATTTGGTAAACTATTCGTTTCGATCTGTTGGAGCTTGTGAAAAGCTACATTAACATTTTCTAATAGGGATTCATTATAGAACCTTAGCTGCTTCAGCTTGAGCAATCGGTGCGTCAACTTGAACCTTAGGTGTTCGGAAGTGCTTTTAATTTGACTGAAAGTGTTTTGGATGAAATTATTTTTGAAACCAATGCTAGTTCATTCTTAGAAATAGCAACGGTATGGCTTGGGAAGAAAATGTTATATCCATTCCAAAAAGCACAAAAATTAACCATATCCATAACCGCAAGCTAACCATTGTGGATTATTCATAATCATACCCACCGGGTAATGGATTTTCTATCGGTTAATTGTTATATCCATCTTCATCAATGCAAAAAAATTATTTGTTCAACTGACACATTATAATTTAATAGATACTAATTTTGTCACTAAATATCCGCATCCAAACCATCATAAACATAACAATACTTTCTAGAGGTGTTCATTATAAGCCAAATATGATAGCACAATAAGGCAAATGAAAAAAGTAAAGAGATGACAAAAGCAAATACAACAACTAGTATGGAGCGAAAAAAATCCGAAATATCCTATGGCTGACACGTGAATGTTTTCATGAAGAAGACAAGAATGCCCTTATTAAATTGGGGGCCCATAGAGATTTCCACACGCAGTCCAACATCCCTAGAGACTAGAGTCGTTGACTATAATATCATCAATCTCCCCTGCCCATGGCAACAAGAAAAATTCAAAGGCATTTATCTTTAATACTCTTCTAATTGAAGATCAACTCAATCAAGCAATGAATCATGATCATATTCAATCAAGGATACTTCCAAGATGATCCCAAGATATTGTTTAATAAATAATATCTTTGAGATTATTTCTTCCTCATCCATTCTACAGATGACTCACCTTGGCCAATCGAATGGAGCCACATGTCATGGCAAAACCCTACACATGTGGCCGGCCCTAGCTCTATAAATACCCCATCAACACCAATTTCTGGTTAGCATTTGCTACGCACTTAAGCCCTAAACTCTCTCTTTTCAAAGAAACTGACTTAGGTATCATAGATCCATTGGCCAACACCCCCCCCCCCCTCTCTTGGGTGCGTGAGGCTTTGGCCTTGATCAATGGTGTTTATTTGTTTTTTTGGTACAATTTCGTCATAACTAAAGAAAACAAAATTTAACTACCACAACCACTACGGAGAAAGACGAAACAAATTATCAAATAATTTCTATACTTGTGAACATACATACATACATACATATATATTATTTAAGGTGGATTTAAGGATGGATACGGATTGAGGACCCTTATAACTAAATTCAAAACACAACCAAATAAATTAACAGTTTTTCCCATATCTGAAAAATATTCAAAATTTTATCCCCGAATCCGTGCCATTCATGCAATTATCCACGGTTATCGGGTGTAACGGGTTGAATTTTCATCCCTAGAATCATTCTCGAGCACTTAAAGTATTTTTTGCAATAAGCACATAACTAATGTTTTTTTCCAAATGCACTTCAATTACTTTTGGAACCCATAATTATTCTACTAAAAACATTTTATTTATTTTAAAAGCACTTCCAAACAAATCAGTCGTAGAATCAGACAAATGAACGATTTAACTTTATGAATTTTTGACAGATCATCCAAATTGGCTGAGAATACTCATCAGGAAATCCGCCTAAGCGCCACCACTCTGCTCTGCTGAGCCCAATTCAAAACCCACATGTTTCTGAAATTCCCTTAAGCCCAACAGCCCAAATACTAAACCCCATTTCCCCATTCATCCCCGTCCAATCCAATCAATTTCTCTCTGGGTCCGTCTGGGATCTAAAACCCTAACCAGCTGAGCTCCCCCTTTTACCCTTCCTTCCGTAACCCCTGACCTCCTCCTCTGCAACGACCGAAATCGATTGAAGATGCAGCACGACGAGGTTATATGGCAGGTTATCCGCCACAAGCACTGCAGCTACATGTCCAAGTATATGCCTTTTTCTTCCTTTTTCCCCCTTAAATTTTGAACATTTTTGCCTGCGTTTTTTTGAGTATTTCTTAATTATTTGGTTTCTTTTGGCAGAATTGAAACTGGGATTTTCTGTAGAAACCCCTATAACGTTACCGGGATTTGTAACCGGAGCTCCTGCCCTCTAGCTAATAGTCGTTACGCCACCATTCGCGACCATGACGGTACTTTTTGCCTATTTTTTTTAAGGAATTACTTACTTGATCGATATGCCAGTCAATATTTGATTATTTCAGTAATTGGGATTTGATTTCTGATCGTTTTAGCCGATTTTCCAAATTTCTGGTTATGTTGATATCAACAATTCGCTCCTACGCCGGCGGCAATGTATGAATTATTTGTATTTGCTGTGTTTGTTTCCTGCAGGAGTCTTCTATCTTTATATGAAAACTATAGAGAGAGCTCATATGCCGAACAAATTATGGGAAAGAGTTAAGTTGCCGCGGAATTATGAGAAAGCACTTGAAATTATTGACAAGCATCTGGTATTTGAAACCTTTTGGACCCTCTTTTAACTGTTTATTACTTCACTTGTAAGCTTTCACGAAGTCGTTAATCACATTGACTTTTCTCATTTGGCAGATGTATTGGCCTAAGTTTCTCGTGCACAAAACAAAGCAACGGCTAACTAAAATGACTCAGATGCGGATACGCATGAGGAAGCTTGCTTTGAAAACAAGGTTGGTATCTTCTGAATTTGTAACGCTTTTTGTCTGTGCATTGAATGTTCACTCATCTAATAATTATTGTTCTTTAAAAAAGTTGCCTGGAAAGTGGCTTCAGAGAACTGGTTTCTACCTTCAAAAATGTCCATCTTAAGGAAGCTATGTTGAGCTGTTGTATCATGACAATTTATCGTGTTTTTATCAGGGAGAAAATAATGACAACACCAAGGAAACAGATAAAGAGAGAGGCTAGAAGAGAGGAAAAGGCTGAAAGAGCTGCACTATTGGACCAGGTTATAACTTATGCTGCTGCCACACACTATAAATACACTCGAGCTATTAGTTATGTTCCCTAGTTCTCATAATGATTTGCTATTCTTTTGCAGAGCATTGAGAAAGAACTATTAGAACGCCTTAACAAAAATGTTTATGGAGATATATACAACTATCCCTTTAAACAATACCAAAAAGTTCTTGATGGGGCAGAGGTAGAGACTGAAAGGGAAGAAGAAGAGGAGGAGGAGGTATTATTGTACAATCTGATCATTGCCCTCTTTTTGCATGGTCTAGTGTCTCAGTTATTAGTACTGAAATCCAAAGTATTTAGGTTTATTTGAAAGTATATTTTATCATAATGTAAATGCTTTTGTGCTTGGAAATAAGCAGGAACCTGAGATAGAATATGTTGAAGGCTATGATGAACTTGAAGAGGAAGATGATATAGAAGATTTTGCTGGTCTTGCAATGGACAATTCGCATGCAGATGACGATAATGGTACAGTACAACTATATTCTATTATTTAACAGAATATGAAATGGAAGCATGCATATTGCATGGTCAGTACTAAAATTTCATAAGTCTAGTATTCATACTCTATATTGTACTCATTCGTGAGTCAAAAGAAAAAAGGTTCACCAGGCATTGTTCTAACTGGTGAAAAAATAATAAAACTACGGGAAAAATTTGCGTTAGTGTTCGTGTCTAGCAAATGGACTCAATAAAGGATTTTATTGTGCAGTTGGAAGCGATGAAGAGGCAGTAGTTGCTCGCAAGAGAGGGCGAAAGGAATCTGCCTTTTCTTCTAAAAAGTTTGAGAAAGATGAACCTGCTGTCAAATCGAAGAAAAAGCCGAGGGTGCTTGTTGAGGTAATTCTAGTTACATTGTAAATTCGTCCAGTCTCATTGTTAGTTATGCTCTAATGCAACTTTAATCATATCACTAAGTATGAAATCAGAAAATGGCGATTATATTTATAATAACTTATGGGCCATGATTTTGAAGAGGTGCAAACTTACTGGAACTCTGTTGTTGGTTTCAGACTTTCAGTATAGTTGTGTCGCTTATCTTGAGTTGAAATTATTGATACATCACTCGAAGTAAAACTAGTAGTGCTGTCACCTAAGACTCACACAAATCTATATTTCCTATTATGGGGATAGACTAAATGATCACGGGTTGGATTTCGATCTTTTCGTATGTTAAAACTTTGGTATCTCAGTAAATGGTCGGTAGAGCAGTGCCTTTAGTACAAATAATACCCCTTTTTTTTTGCTATAATGGGAAAATGACTAGAAATAACTTTCTATGTCCCCTATATCCACGTCTGTTGGGATGTGCACTACTCTTTCCCCAAATCTGATTCTGTTACTTATTTTATCAGGTGGAGCATGAAGATACTGGTGCTAGGCAAAAAGCAGTCCAGTGAGAGCTACTTATTTCGTTATTTGATCTGTAAAAGACATGGTTGCAATGCTCTTCTGCTTGTTTGGTTGGTTGTCGGTTCGTCACAAAGCTTCCCGCGCAAAGAAGAAACTTGCTAAAGGAGACCAAGTTTCAAAGATTTTGCTAGCTCGGTATGTTGATTATCGTAGATTGTACTGCTAGCAGATTAATCTATAAATTAAGTCACAGATTGTACTGCTAGCTTTGGTGTCTTGTGTCTTTTCAGTGAGGATCTAGTTAGAGTTGGTAGGCGGCCAAGGGATATTTGTTATTGTTAGTCCTTTGGCCTTCTGGGTTGTAAACGTCTTCTGAAACAAAGAAATACAATTTTGTTCGAAGGATTTTATTTTGTTTATGAATCTGTTTGGACCTAAATTTACATCATCGGCCCGTGCAATCAAGGCTGTTGGTTGAGCGTAGTGTTAGACCGATGGATGAGAAGGTGAAGATAATTTTATTATTAAAAGATATTATTATGGTTTTATCATAATAATTATCTTTTAGTAAAGAATTATTTTTATATAAGATAAATGGGATGCAAACTATATCTTAAGCTTTGGGACTTTTATCTGGTTAAGCAGCCATTTGCGTGCAAATTAAATGTTGGTTAGATAAAGGCTACTGATGGAGTTTTGGTGATGAGAGAGAAGCCTAGGTGGATTAGGAACGTGATGTGATAAGCCTAGATGGAAGTGGCAGAAGGTTAGCCTGATGCCGTGTGAAAGGCTATTTTTTATATATATATATATATAGGAAATCTTTAAGGAAAGGGATTTCCATTTTTTTATAAAAATGGGGATTAATTGTGGAGTCCACATTATATCGAATTTTAACGATCCGAACCGTCTATTTTTCAAGTTGCATCTCATAGATCATCCTTACAAAATATTAGCCAAATCGGAAATGTTTAAGACATCTAATTGGGTTCAAAGAAATGAACGAATACTTTGTTATATAAGGAACAATGAAATTTTATCTTGATAATTAAATAGGCAAATGGTTTCGGATTACATTGAATTTTTGCAAGAATGATCTATAAATCGAGACTTACAAAATAGACGGTTCGGATCGTTGAAGTTCGATGTGAAATGAGCTCTACACCTAATCCCCATTTTTTGAAAAAAATGGGGATCCCTTTGCATAAATGGCCTGTATATATATAATTGGTGGTTGTTTACAGAAGGTTATCCAAGTCACGTCAGATACATGGGAATTTGAAATAAGACTCTACTCGAGAATCAGGCTGTGAGCAGATATGCAGCCACTATAAATACAAGGGGTCGTGGAACACAAAAGGGACTTACAATTCAACACAAAACTGCCCTGCGCAAGCTTTCTCAACAACTTTGAGATTTTTTCTTTTCTTTTCTCGCTGACACATCTTCCGTTGGCATCAACAGCACTGTGGAAGCAACCGGTGATATCTTAAGTCGGCATAGATAGCTCTGTCATCGTAGAATCAGTCGGTCTCGCAGTATCTTCCGTTGGCATCAATAGCACTGCGGCGAGGACGGTTGATTACCTATCCAAGTCTCGGTCGAGAAGGATTTTTGAATCCTTATTGATCGAGGTCATCTCATCAGCCTTCTCGGCAAAGTGAGGTGTTACAGTTATTACATTCGGCACATTGAAAGCCGAATTTGATATTGAACTTCGTAAGAATAGTAACCTTGTCTTCAGGTTCGAGAGCCCAAGAGGCCGAGACGTGTTCCTTTCTCGGCCGCAATCACAAGACGCAGAAGTCAGCCGCGCATCCAACGCAACATCAACAAAATTTACTCCTTGGCCGAGCTCGACCGACGAGTTGGCACGCCCCGCATTCACCGAATGACGTAGTTAGCTTATAAATTACTCGGCCTGCGCGCCACGTAGGCTTGGTAGTTTTTAGGGTCAACATTTTGGCACGCCCAGTGGGACCGAGTGTTAAAACTACGAAGTTCATATGATATATCAAGATCCCAATCCGGCTCCACGTAGCCGATTGCACGAGCTCTTAGAGCAATTGGAAAAACACGACGAGGAACGTAAAAGATCTTTGGAAGTGGAAAAAGTTCTTTGTGGCCTTAGAGAGATGCAGAAATCATTCGCTTACATGTTGCGAATAAAAGCTCTTGTTACCCTACAAGAGCAATGGGTAGATGAAGACAAGGCTCGATTTAATGCCTGGCTAAATGGAGATCATTTTCCTTACATTTTCGACTACAAATCAATCCCATTTGGTGAATGGTTGGTTGAAAAGACCGGGGGGCAATTTTCCACTCCAGCCACAAATAAAATTCGGCCTAAGAAGATTGTCGACATGGCCGAAAAAAAACCTAGGCCACCTGTTTTTTCGGTCGAGACTGAAATTATGGTAGGCCTAGAAGAAAACTTTCAAGTTTCTGAGCAAAAAATTGACACCGAAACTATGCCAATTGATATGATTATCGGCGATAAAGCCGATATGGGGAAATCCCATTCGGCCAAGTTATTTGAATTAAAAGCCGAAATTATGTTTGGGGGGCATAATAATTGTTCAACACATTCGGCGGCCGAAAATGAAAAATATTTCACCAAGTTAGAAATATTTGGAGATGATTTTTTATTCGGTTTTGGAAAATGTCAAAGTGAAAATTTTGATGTAAAAAGATATCGGCTTGGAATAAAGTATCGTTGGCCTCCTCCTGACTATGGTTCGGCTACTTTTATTTCAATTTAGAAAAATAAATAAATTATTTTCTTAATTATCTGGCTAATTAAGCCGATACTTAAGAAAATAAAGGGGGCAATGTCCCGAACTCTAACAAAAATTCGGCCGCCGAGGCAGATTCAGGTAATCGTCTGTTTAGGCCGAGGTAAATTTTTTTTTTTTTTTTTTTTTTTTTTTGCTTTGCCGCCAACCTTTCGAATTGTCATCAACCCTTTTCTTATTCGGCCTCGGCCTAGACGGCCGAAATGCTCTTTTTTTTTTTTTTTTTTTTAGTCAGTGCATCAAAAATCATTCCTACTTTTTCTCTCTTCTGCACCGAGTATCAAATTTCACGAAGCAGCCTCTTTATATATGCTCATCCTCGGCGAGATTAAAAAAATTTAAACCGCCGATTATATATGTGTTGCCCCCTTATTTTCTTATGCATCGGCCTAAAAAGATGAATGGTTAAGAAAATAATTTATTCAATATTTTGTTTTTTAACAAAAGAAAATGAAAACTGCCGAAACATAATCAGGGGGAGGCCAGCGATGCTTGGTTCCAAGCTGAGATCTTTTAAGACCATCATAGCCAATCAAACTTTGCACTGAGTCGAATAAAAAATGATCTCCATATATTTTTGACTTGGAGAAATATTTTTCATTTTCGGCCGCCGAATGTGTTGAACAATTATTATGCCCCCGGGGCATAATAATTTCGCCGATTTCGGCTTTTAACTCGAATAACTTAGCCGAATGGGATTTCTCTATATCGGCTTTATCGCCAATAATCATATCGATTGGCGTGGTTTTTCTGGCTAGGTCTATGTCTCGGCCTTGTTCGTCATTGATATGATTATCGGCGATAAAGCCGATATGGGGAAATCCCATTCGGCCAAGTTATTTGAATTAAAAGCTGAAATTATGTTTGGGGGGCATAATACTTGTTCAACACATTCGGCGGCCGAAAATGAAAAATATTTCACCAAGTCAGAAATATTTGGAGATGATTTTTTATTCGGTTTTGGAAAATGTCAAAGTGAAAATTTTGATGTAAAAAGATCTCGGCTTGGAATAAAGTATCGTTGGCCTCCTCCTGACTATGGTTCGGCTACTTTTATTTCCATTTAGAAAAATAAATAAATTATTTTCTTAATTATCTGGCTAATTAAGCCGATACTTAAGAAAATAAAGGGGGCAATGTCCCGAAGTCTAACAAAAATTCGGCCGTCTAGGCCGAGACCGAGGCAGATTCAGGTAATCGTCTGTTTAGGCCGGGGTAAAATTTTTTTTTTTTTGCCGAGCTCGGCGAAATTGGATACGTGCATGCGAAGTTTTTCCTAGTGATGGCAGACTTATTCAACCAAAGTGGATATTTAATTGGATATAGGCTTTAGCCTATGGATGTGGCTGATGGGAATTGTCAGAATACCATTGGAAAGACAAATATATATATAAGACTCGGCCATAAGGTTTTGTAGGTGGGTTGTCAAATCCAAGAGTCAGGATATTTAATGAGCGTTGGTCTTGGAATCTAGGGAAAAGGAGTAGGCATGCATGACAACGACAAAACATGGGTTTATACATATATATATATATATATATGTATGTATGTATGTATCTGTATATATAGGCAGGCCGAGGTCTAGGAACAGTTTTTATCAACCTCGGCCCCAGTTTAAAAAAAAAAACAGTTGAGAGCTGCGGTAGTTCACGACACTGGCAGAGGAAGATCATGACATTGGCAGAACAGAGGTGATGATAAATATTTTAGCTTCTGCCGAGTAAAGGAATGGAATTTTTTAAGCTTCTGCCAAGTAAATTTGTATTCGGCGGTGGTTCCTCAATAGTTCTCGGCAATATATTTTTCTTAGTCATTCGGCGAAGTTGTGAGTTTCAAAGCCATCTAGCCGAAGTTGAGAAAGATTTTGATATGCGTTGACGAATAATTTCCATGATCATTCGGCTTACAAGCCGAAGCTCAAGGAAACTGGGGGGCAATGTTTGGACCCAAATTTACACATCGGCCTGTGCAATCAAGGCCGTTGGTTAAGCGTAGTGTCAGACCGATGGATGAGAAGGTGATGATAATTTTATTATTAAAAGATATTATTATGGTTTTATCATAATAATTATCTTTTAGTAAAGAATTATTTTTATATAAGATAAATGGGATGCAAACTATATCTCAAGCTTTGGGACTTTTATCTGGTTAAGCAGCCATTTGCGTGCAAATTAATTGTTGGTTAGATAAAGGCTACTGATGGAGTTTTGGTGATGAGAGAGAAGCCTAGGTGGATTAGGAATGTGATGTGATAAGCCTAGATGGAAGTGGCAGAAGGTTAGCCTGATGTCGTGTGAAAGGCTATTATATATATATATATATATATATATATATATATTTGGTAGAAGTCGTACATTTGGCAGTCTGCATGCCATGGAAAAGTGCAAACTATTAATGTATATATATATATATATACATATATATATATATAATTGGTGGTTGTTTACAGAAGGTTATCCAAGTCACGTCAGATACATGGGAATTTGAAATAAGACTCTACTCGAGAATCAGGCTGTGAGCAGATATGCAGCCACTATAAATACAAGGGGTCGTGGAACACAAAAGGTACCCACAATTCAACACAAAACTGCCATGCGCAAGCTTTCTCAACAACTTTGAGATTTTTTCTTTTCTTTTCTCGCTGACACATCTTCCGTTGGCATCAACAGCACTGTGGAAGCAACCGGTGATATCTTAAGTCGGCATAGATAGCTCTGTCATCGTAGAATCAGTCGGTCTCGCAGTATCTTCCGTTGGCATCAACAGCACCGCGGCGAGGACGGTTGATTACCTATCCAAGTCTCGGTCGAGAATGATTTTTGAATCATTATTGATCGAGGTCATCTCATCAGCCTTCTCGACAAAGTGAGGTGTTACAGTTATTACATTCGGCACATTGAAAGCCGAATTTGATATTGAACTTCGTAAGAATAGTAACTTTGTCTTCAGGTTCGAGAGCCCAAGAGGCCGAGACGTGTTCCTTTCTCGACCGCAATCGCAAGACGCAGAAGTTAGCCGCGCATCCAACGCAACATCAACAAAATTTACTCCTTGGCCGAGCTCGGCCGACGAGTTGGCACGCCCCGCATTCACCGAAGGACGTAGTTAGCTTATAGATTACTCGGCCTGCACGCCACGTAGGCTTGGTAGTTTTTAGGGTCAACAGAATCATTGCCCTCTTTATATTTGGATTGCATTCCTGTGATTTCTTCCGAATATTCTTGTTATTTTTCTTTCACTACGACACTCTAAAAAGTATAACGAGCTTGTACTTAAAGTGGTTAAGAGTGTCCACGCTTGCACTCGCCCACGGTTTGATGTGTGTCGAATTCCGAAATTACTTTCAAAACCAACCTCCATCTCCTGCATACAACTTGCTACTTCTGTTTTGACAAATAATAGGACGATAACACTATTCATAGAAATTAAGGAGGCGGGATTTGAATTTGGGTGCACACTACTATAGTCAACTTGACAAAACTCAGGTATTCCGTGCTTGTGGCTGGTTTGGTCCCCTTCAAAAGGCATGTAATTATTCAAATTGAACTATATTGTAATTATTTGCTGGGCACTATTGGGCCAAATTATATGATAGCGAGGCCTTCCCACTGGGATATATAGCCCAGAGCGCCCCTCCTCGAAATGCAGGTGAAGACAATCAATTCAATTCTCTTTTATTTTTCCCAGCCAATAAACATTATCCAAAACAAAATCTCCCCAATTGGCCTGTTGAAACCACCTTTTCTGCTAAGTAGTTGGGATTTCACGATGAGGTGCATCCTGTTTCACCCAGCACTGCTTCCTCTGCACACCCAGCTAAACCAAAGACAGCAGCTGCTGGGTACGCATTCCACTAAACTTGCTGCTGCACCTGCACCACATAGGCAGCAGCACCTGCTCTCGTTAAGAACCAGGGCCATGCAAAACGCTGTTACTTTTCTCGGTGTCGGTCCCTCTGCCAAATCCGGTGGAGACATTTCTGTCCTCCTCCAAACTGGGTACTTGTTTTCTCACCTTCCAAGATAAAATTTCATTTTTCCAACTATGAAATTCATGTTTTATCTTCTGTTTTTTTTGGGTTTTGTGTTGCAGCGGGGTGCTTCTTTTGGTTTACTTGTTTTCCAACTTCGTTGTGCCGGTTCTCGTTTCGAAATTTTTCGGGTTCGATAAGGTGGGTGAAGAAGATGAAGACGATAACGACCTATTTAACAGGTGAAGATCAGCACAGGCCACAGCGGAAGGAAAATGGTTCCAAGAAAATGTCTGAGATTTTCTTTTATTGTAGTTGTTTTTTATTCACTGTAGAAGTTCGTTTTGGGTTAAAGTTGGGAGGGTACAAATAACAAATATGATTTCTAATGTGCTAACCTATTATTATATAACTTTATGATGAATAATACTTGCAGTTCATTCTCAGTCTTCACTTGCATTTAACATATTTTCATTGTAAATTTTTTATAACTTGGACCGTTTAATTTTATACAAAAAATCATTCAAATAAAAAATCGTTTAGTTATCCAAATGTATCAAATAAATCAATAAATCAATAAATCATCATAAATATATTATCTGGAACCTACACTGTTTAACTTGTCTTATGTAGTTTTGGGTCTACATTTGCTCAACACAATTTACAATTACCAGCAAAATCAAGCCTGTTTTTAATCAAAAAAGAGGAAAGGAGAAAAGAAAAAAATACCTAAACAACCGTCCAATCACTTTCAACTGTATTCGAAGATTTTTCAGCAGGGGATGTATTTTCAGGCTTAGGAGGCTTTTTTGAAAATAATGATGACTTGTTGTCGAAGAAACTCGAAAACGGTTGGCTACCGGGGCTCTTTAAGTTTTTCTGGTCCTTCGAACCTGATTTTCTCAACTGTCTGTCTTTACCACCAAAGTTGAGGGTAAGTCTCCTAAAACGCCCTTTTGGTTCTCCTGAAGGGGTCGTCGATTCTTCGGGCTGCTTCATTGCTCTTAGTGCTTCCTCTGGATTGACCAACATAGTCTCCACTGTTTCATATACCTGTACCAAGCATTGACCAAGAGAATATCAAACTCAAATTTGGGTACGCAAATAAATTTATATCCTTATTGCCCGAATCCCCCACCCTAAACCCCGAAAGAGGAAAATAATAATTTGAAATTATTTATAAAGATGTGATAGCTACCTAGGCATAGGTTAGAAGGATAGAGAACAGTTAAACAATCTAATTGTAGATGAACTCATCTTCTCTTATGATAACCTTGGCCGCCAAAAAATTACCAACAAATTTTATCTGAAAATATTTCATGAACAAAGTTTACTGTTGAAATAATCCTTTTTTGGTTTTTTAAAGCATTTGTTCTACGAGTGGATGACACCTTCGACATATATCTCTGATCGAGCATCCATGAGTGCCATAATCACGTTTGTCGATGTATTCTTTACGAAGGCTTTATTATTCTAGACACTAGTCCAGTTGACATAAAATTATACCAATCAACCTTTGGTTTAGCAATATGGATCCATCATACCTGGCAAAGCTCATCAACCTTCTCAGTCCACGTGCTGCTTTGACAAGTGGAAACAACATATTCCTTGCACTCATAAAACAGCTTCGAAAAATCACTGCTCGCAGATAGTTTAGCCTCAGCAATTACAAATCCTAAACCAAGCTGGATGTTGCAGAACGGGCATCATTAGAACAGTATAGAAACAGCGGCAATGTATTAAACGATGTTAAAAACAAGCAAAAATAACAACATAAAAAATTGAATTTACCAAAGAAACAAACAACTGCTGAAAAAGCTCGGAAGGTGATATGTCCTCAAAACCATCCAGGATACCTTCCCTACAAGATTAATACACGATGCTATTAATGTTAGACAGTAGTACTAAAACCAGAAACAGGTGTGGCAAAATGAGCACTAGTTCTTCCAACTTACACAGCTAAATCCTCATCAAAGAGGGGTGCTTGTTTAACTGCTGGAACTGGTTTGGATGTATCCCAAAACTCACGCCACAAATTGCCTAACATCAAAGCATAACCGTATGAAATTTCAAATGAGATTTAAATATATGGTGGTTCTTCCAACTTTAAGATGCACGTATACATTATAAAGGTTAAAAAATAATCACATAAAATGGCTAAGCATCCTTATTCTAGGCAATAATATGATAGACTGGTTACCTTCTAAGCAATTTCTCCCATATATACATATATAGAGTACCAAACCAAAGTATTATTATAAGCGAAGTAATTTGCAGTCTGTTATGCATTCGACATCCTCTTATTGTTAACTTGGATATACAAAGCTGTTATGTGACATAAACAATATAGAAATGGAACAACGAAAAAAGGTGGCACCTTCTTTTTGCATTCGGCTACTGAGATAGCCTCTTGTGGACAATTCATCACTACCATCGAACAAGTCTTTAGCCTCATCAATTGGCTCAGTCTCTGTCCAGTCAGGAGGGGAGTGCCATCTCACAAAGTCTTCCAAAATACAACCAGGATTTGCAGCCTGCATATGATAAATGTCAGAGCTTAGTTAACTTGAACAGTCAACACACACCATTCAGTGAATCTATAAAATAAGCTTTCATTAGTGAAAACCTTGAAAGCCTGCATGTCAGAGAGAAGTTGAGAACATCCAGCACCAACGCTGACCATAAAGAAAAGGCAAATTGTCAAAAAATATACCTAGATTAATAAGGATAATAGGATGCAAGTTTATTGTGATTAATATGTATATGTACAGTTCTTCTCAAAAAGCAAAAAAAATATGTATACGTACAGAGAACTAGGAAAAATAAACAAGTCACTTTAAGCAAAATGCCAAATGTTACTTGAAAACAAAAAGTGACTAAGAATTAACTCAAATACAGACCTTCCTGTTCGAAGCACAAACTCCTCATTTTCTTTGATAAGATCTTCAGTAAGCAAAGGTACTTCCTACATATAATAATGTGCATATATGATATAATCTCAAATAATGTGGCAAGTTAAAACAGTTTTCCTTGAAAGACAAAGCTATTAAAACATACCTGGGTCACAGGGGAGTACACAGGTTCACCAGTTTCCAACATTGTCAGGTTGCCAGATGGGCTATCAGCACCTAGTCGGAGGACAAGTTCCCCAGTGCTTAACTTAGCATACAAAATAGGGCATGCAGGATTGTCTTTGGAAAGAGCAGAATCTTCTGCATTTGGACTAGCTTCCCTTATTACAAAGTCTAACGTTTCAGTGGCGATATCACGACGCCTTTTCCTGGAAACACAACAGTTCATAACTTGCAGCCGCTGATACAAAAGACAGGAATTCAGATCTGGAATCTCATCGAAGGGAATGCTAGGCACATGTTGTTCCTCAGACCAAATTCTTCTCAGCTGCATATGAAGGAAATATCAAATCAACAAAACATTAATGATACAACAGCATATTAGGTATTCAATTTCAGTGGAGGAAGTATATATAAGCATAAAAAACCCAGAAAATTTAAGATGGAAAACTTTCTGGCTAGACATCTACTCAGCAGGATTATATTGCACGAAAATGTGATAGGCCAGGATAATATTGTACCTTAAGGCTGAAACAGAACCCAATTTCTTCTTTTTCAGTTTAAGATAATAAGTTTATACTCAAGATCACAAAATACTACCTAGACCTTATTCAAAGAGAAGTGTACTTCCAGAAAATATATAATGTGTTATGGTTACAATACAGGAAGCCAGAAGTGTCGGCTCATATTTCTCTTTTTTTTTCTTTTCATTGTAAGTCATTGGAAAAAGCTCAAACAACTCATACTTATGGTATACAGAACTTACTTCAACAACAAATCTGCACCAAAACAGAGTCATTTTCTTGAGGGTTCTGAAGCTCCCAATGACTTCAGCTAACTTAACAACAAGGCTTTCAGGAGGAGCACCATGAATATCTCTTGGCAAAGATGCTGTGGTAATTGCCTCCGAACCAGAATCAATCTTCCGTCTTAGAAAACTCCCCTCTGCGAATATCTTGCAAATATTACAACGGAAGTGAAAGATCATAACACGATAATGAAAAACAAAACAGGACTAAGAAGAACCAAAAGGAAGTAACTGTCATGAGGTCACCTAACGTATGAATCTACCTGCATCAAACAGAGCGTGGATCAATGCTAGGACCTTCTCGTTGCTACAAAAATCAGATGGCTTTTCATCCTTTTCACGAAGCACTAATGACTTCACTGCAGAGAGACTCAGACCCGCTCTCTCCCTGACAGGTGAGGAACTTCCTGATGAGGCCAAAAAATCTTTCAATGACTTAGACTTCTTTCCAGCCCTGGATTAAATTTCCAAAATATAAGGGCAGAAAGTTAGGATATCATGTACAAACTGAAAACTTACATTGACATATAGAACCGTTTAATAACTAAGGGCACATGTATTACTGAAAGAGACTTTCCAATTATAGAAAAGACATTCACTTCTGATTATACGAATGCAAGACTACTGGTATCCGTTTAACATATAAACATATTCACAACGTTGAAAGAATGCAATTGAACAAATTTCCAACACCAGTGAACTCCAAAAGTTGTAAAGATTCACAAGTTTATAGGAAAAGTTTCAGAGAAAGAAGACTTGTTAAAGGGATGAATCTCAAAAATGTAAATACTTACTCAACAGCAGTAGCCAATTGTCTCATAACAGACAACGGAGGAATCACAATGTTGTCTGAGACTAAGCTTTCAACTGATGGGATCATCTCTGCCCCCTTGCAAATATCAAATCCCAATTTATCATCAAAGTGAAAACAACTAATAGAAAAAAAGGACAAATAAATCAGTAAGCTAAGTTATCAATCGCAAACTTTCCAGGTTAGGCATCGCACAAATTGGATGATAATAAGGTTTTGTTCTTGTTATCTATCAGCTTGGCACAATGTGAGTGTTTTTCCATCATTATCGGTTACTGAGCGTGTATCACTAAATTTTCTTAATATGTACAGGAACAAACACCTGATTAAAAATTTAGTTGAGTTTCCTAATATAAGAACAAAACCAGTCCGCCAGGCCCTGGGGGAAACGTCGAATAAATTACCTTTTCATTCGTGAATGTGATGTGATTATGTATTGATGATCTAAATATAAAACGGAAATCTTAGAAGACAAACCATCATAACGTGTTACACACAGAAATAAAAGATATAAAGAAGCAAACCTACCTTTGCTTCCATATCGTTTTTCATGTTCAGCAGGTACAAATTTTCATCATAAAAATGAACTGCCATTGAAGAATTCTCAGCCTTCTCGGTATCTTCACCTCCTTTCTTCCCTATTCCAATGTGCCTGAATCTATCCTGCCAATCTTGCTTTGTCCCTATGTTTGGTGGTCTCCACCTAAGATGCTTCGATTCATGCGAGCCCTGTATTATTTCATTTCCAAGCAATAGAAATCAAACAATCCTATCAAATCGTACATTATCAAAAACTCTACTCAAGTAAGCCGGATTTCACAATGTAGTATCTTTTTTTTCTCAGCAACCAAACAGAAAATGATCAAAAACTGGTTCTGGTCCCTAAACCAAACACCGAAAAGCAAAATCCTACGAAACTTAAACCGATTGATCCTACATTTCCAATCCAAAACAATAAAAACACAAAACAATTAAATCAAAGCCAATTTGAAATTCCAGAAAAAAATTAACAACAAACTGACCTTTGACTCGCCATCCTCCCTCGGCGATTCATAATCGGCGTGATCGATCGAATTCCTCGGCGATTGCTTGTCAGAATCTACACCGATTCAACACCAAAGTTATCAAAAAACTAAACAACATTTATAATCCGAAATTAAGAAATCAAATCCCGAAAAACAAAACAAAAATAGCATCGGGGAAAAGTCAAATGGAAGTCTGGGGGCAGTAAAAAATAGTAAACGGAGAAAAATACGATTCAGCGAATGAGATTAAAAATAAAATAGACCTCGATCGGGCTTTAAGTCAGAGAGAACTCGCTCCGCTTTAGCCGCCGCAGAATGGAAGGCGGTCCTCGCTTTGGATACAAAGGAGGGCGACTCCATATCCTGCGCCGGGGATGCGCAGGTTAGGGTCTCAGTCTGTGCGTACTAGTACTACCGGGCCAGAGGAGGATTCCATATTTGTAGCTGTCGAGGAAGATGTGGGGAAGAAATTCTCATTTGAATACAGAGAGACTCTCTCAAACACGCATGGTTTTTATATTTTTTTTTTGTTTTTCGGAATTTATTATTTTTCCTAAGATTTTTTATGGATAATTTTATTTCCATACTTTTACTTTTTCTCATATCCTTATTATTTTTTATATATTAATTTTCGTTCAATTTATTTGATTCGATGATTAAAAATCAAACTAGCATATGAGAAGTAAAAAATAGATAAGAATATAGCAGTACCTTTTTATATTTGTTGTTCGAAATTTGAGGCGAAAATAAAAGGGAAAATAATAATTACGGATATTTTATGGACGTTATTTACGGTGTCCTGGTCAGTGTTTTCTTGTGTGCGTTGTTTACTTCATTACGTACAATGAATTTGTGTTGAGAGTACCATAATAAGAAGATAAAGAAGAGACTTGTTCTTGTTCTTCCAATTTTGGAGGACGTAAGTCCACCGGTTGGGCTGGTCCAACCAAGAAAGGCATGGTGAAGAGACTTGTTCATGCCCATCCTTTTCAATTTACTTGGGATTTGATTTACAAAACTTCGTGTTTATATTTTAAATTGTTGAAATTCTAAATTATTTTGTAAAGATCATCTATACATAAAGTTAATTAAAGCTAAAATCGTTTAGTCAACCAAATATAAAAAATACATAAAACGGTTTATAATATTTTTACTGAATCCGTCCATTTATTTTTGTATAATTTGATGACCAAATGGTCTCATATATCATAATTTTTGTATAACAATTTTGTAGTGATTTATAATATTAACGGTTTCAATTGTAAACTTGAAATTCCGTAAATCGACACGAAGTGAATTGAGGAGAAATTCTTCTTCAAACTATTGCGAAACCAAGTTAATTCCATTTGCGCTGGTTGTGATGTTCTTGAGCATGTTTGTGCTTGAGACTGCACTGAATGTACAAATATTGAGGGTCAAACAAGTGAAGAGACCTTCGTAAAGATGCTGATTGGATCCTCTCCGATCCCTTTCCTGGGGATCATTCAAGCAGGAGCGTTCAATAAAAAATGAACGGCCATGATTAATTTGAATTTTTCAAACCCCTCCCTCTCAATCTTCACCTTCGTATCTCACTCACTCAAAAAATAATTTCAATCAATCCAACAAATTAAACAGTCCCAACCCGATCTTTAGCCCCGTCCTCCATCCCAAACCCCTGATTTCTTTTCTTCACCCAACCAATAACACCCATAAGCCAAGAAAAAAAATTTTAATGTGAATTTTTTTTGGAAACTTTAACGAAAAGTATCCGGTACTGTTCACTTTAATGAAAAACCACATTTTTACATTAAAAAGTCAATCATGGTACTGTTCACTTTACCCTTTATTTTGTCCTTATCGTTAAAACTCAAAGTTTTCAAATCATTTTCATTAGTTTTCCTTTTTTTTTGGTGCATTTTTCAAACACTATTACAACCCAGAAATTAAAATTTCTGAATAGCCGCAAGAAATCGCAAGAAGAAAGAAGAAATTTGTCACATTCCGTATTTGACGTGAAACCCATTAAACCCAGGGAAGGAGAAAATAGCTCGGATCGAAAATCGTCGCTTGGGCTGTCTCGCCAAGATCGGCACGGGAAGGCTTGAGGCAGCCTGCTAAAAGGGAAGCCGAACAGAAAGTTTCGGAATTTTTTATGTGAAATAGAGAGAAGAGAAAAGAAAGAGTCGGATTTTGATGTTAGAACCAAACATCTAAAAGTGATTTAATTATTAGCCGTACGTTATTCATCTAACGGACATGATTAAATTGGTCCGCAGGCTCCATTGTGAAAGCTCCGGAGAGGACCCGATCCCGTAAAGATGGTTGACTTCGCAAAGAGAGGATCCTCGTCGTATTCTCTTTGTGAGGATCTCGAAAATCGTTTAATCACATCCGTTCATCTTATATTGTGCAACTAATTTTTTCCAGGTATTGTTTATATTCAATTTTAAATAAATTTTTTACAATGACGATGTACGATGAACGAATATGATTGAAAGATCCTCACAAAAAGAATCGGGCAAGGATCCTCCTAACTTCACAAATGTCTAGTTATTAAGCAAGGGCAAATATATATTTTTTATTTTTTATAATAAAGGAATGAGCTTAGTTTCATAATAGACTAACCATAATATAATTTAAATTTACTTTTAACGAAACATAAGATCTCTCACTTACAAGTAAACTGTAGTACAAAATGATGGCAAGGGCAAAAAAAATTAAAACTGAATTTTGGCCATGTTCCAGCTGAGGCCAAATCGTCAGCACTCAAAATGAATATGAGACCAAATCTTCAGCAGTCAAAATCCTCAATTATTCTGGATTGTATACCCTTCCAATCTCCTCTATTCATATTTATGTGATCACGATTCCAGGTCCTTAGAGAGGCTACACTCATTTTAAAAGTAAAAGATTCGATCTTGTTGCAGCAAAGTGTGACTTTGTATTTTTGTGTTATTGGACTCTATTTTTTCAGGGATTCATATTTATGTGGTCACAATTCCAGGTCCTTAGAGAGGCTACACTCATTTTAAACGTAAAAGATTCGATCTTGTTGCAGTAAAGTGTGACTTTGTATTTTTGTGTTATTGGACTCTATTTTTTCAGGTGTCAATTCCGTACTTGGGGATTGGGGTGCCGGCGATTTCAAGTCTAAAGTTGCGTTTCTTTTTGTTTCTTTAGTATGAGGACTTGTTATGTATTCATTTCTCCTGTCTGTCACATGTAAAAACATACAATAATACATTCATCTTGTTCCACCCCCAATCTCCAATTCTCTCTATTTTTGGGCATTTATAACAAATATCAACATATTAAAAAAGCCAAATTAATATAAATTTTCAAGAGTGCCAACAGATGATGCCAATGATATAACAAATAGACTGACATCGAATTATACAGACAAATTCATCAAACTGAAAACAAATTATTAGGTTTTGCTTTATCATTTAATAAATAAAGCATCAGATTTAAGGAGTTGGAAGACTTGATTTTGGTAATTTATAAATATATCCAATGACAAATTAATATAAAAAATATAAAATAAAATTTGTTTCTTTTATTTAGCGAAAAACCCAGTACGGATCATTCAGCCATTTCAAAATTTTGGATGATGAAAAATATAATAGACTAACAATGGAATAAAAAACCCGAGATTTCCACAAAACATGAAACAACGGTGATTCTCATAATTAAAGTAAATAAATAAAAAATAAGAAGAAAGTGGGTTTGAACGAATGAATGTTGCGACTTGTTCGAGGCCAAAATCAAAACCAAAAATTTGACAGGCACGGAGAATCGCTTGTTATTATCGCCAACCTTCAATGCAATTTGCGCCATTTTTATATTAGACGCCCTTGCTCTGCAAATTGGCTTCTACTTCTACGGAAAGCACTTCTCGCACGAAAAATCAAACAAAACTTTTCGAAAAAAACAAATATACAAAGCTCTAAAACGAAAGAAAAACCCCAGAAAAGTTAACTGAGAGAACAACAGTAGAGCCTAAATACAGACGAAGACGGATAAACAGAGGCGAATTGTTTGATGGGCTAACGTTTATTGGGATGTTATTTATAGGCACGGAGGATGAAACCCTAGCATGAAGGAAATGACGAGTCTACCCATCAAAATTTTGGGTTTCGGCTGTCAATACCCAAATACAAATATTGTGGGTTTAAAACTCTTGGGCCTGTTTGCTAACTACGAATCGAAATAGGAAGAAATCGGAAAACGATGAATCGGAGTAAATAAGAATTGGGATAAGCGGGAATCGAAATCTAACAATCTCATCAAACACTTAAGTAAATGATGTATTAGGTCTTCAACGATGAAGTAAGTACAATTAATGAGGTCACTGGCACATTGAGCGAATGCAAGTCTCAAAACGTACAAAAGAATGCATAGGTAGTAAAACTCGCAAAACCTCACTATGGTATAACCCAAAATGGTATAAAACCCCAGTCTAAGGAAAAAAGTGAGAAGTTTCATTTAATTCAAAACTAAACGCATTCAGGACGCAAATAAAACACACACAAGGATATGACCATCTCAAAATAGGTGTCGCGTTAAAACCTATTCAGCAAACAAAAGCCCTATGAGAAAAATACTCATAATCGTAGCAGAGACTGTTGAGTTCATGATTGGACTTCTAAGGTATGCATATCCTAATCCGCCTTACTTTGGCCCTAGAAAATCTTGGTCCCACAGACCACAGTAGTGGTGGCGATTTTCCCATAGCTAAAGGTGATAAGCTCTCATTAAACCAATGTTCAGTGACTGATTTTGAAGTTGAAGCTATGAAAAACAAGCCATATACTTCCTTGGTAGGGGGTGTAATGTATGCACAAGTGTGGACAATACCTGACTTGGCATTTGTATTAAGTGTCCTGAGAAGGTCTCAAGCAAGCAAATCCTAGTATTCAACATTGGAATGCTGGAAAAAGAGTGTTGAGATACCTGAAGAAAACTCAGTCCTATGTGTTGGTATACCAACATCTAGGTAGTTTGGAGTTGATTTGTTATTCATATGTTGAACTAGGAGGCTGCGTTTATGATAGAATGTCGACAAGTGGATATGTTATTATACTTGCTGGTGGTTCAGTTCCATGGAGAAGCAAAAAGCAAAGCATAATGGCTGTTCTACAATGGAATCTAAATACATAGGGTGTTTCGAAACCATGAGGCAAGGTGTCTGGATGAAGAACTTTATTATGCATATTAAAGTTGTTGGAAGTCTTGAAAGGAAAGGCAATTGAAGATTTATTGTGATAATATGTGGGCTGTGTTATTTACCAAAAACAATGGAAGATCGGATGCTTCGAGGCTTATGGACATCAAGTATCTCAAAGTTCAAGAAAATGTTAGAGATGATGTTATTCAGATTGAACACATTGGCACTTTTGATATGGTGCAGGCTCATCCGTGGACAAAAGTCTTGCACGTCACAGGCTTTAATAGGCATGTTCCGAGAGCTGGACTACAGCCATCATTCGATCTGTTTTGAATGTGGGAGTAA